TTTTCTAGTAAGTTAATATTGAATAGACATAAAGTTCATTTTGCATTATTGTTGACCCTAAAAACTACCAAGCTTACGTGGCATGCAGGCCGAGTAACTAATGAGCTAACTACGTCCTTCGATTATGTGCGGGGCGTGCCAACTCGTCGGCCGGGGATTAAAATGTGTTGATGTCGCGTTGGGCGTGCTGTTGACTTCTTGATCTTGTGACTGCGACTAAGGAAGGAACACGTCTCGGCCTTCGGGTTCTAGAGCCTGAAGACAAGATTGCTAGTTCTACGAAGTTCAATATCAAATTCGGCTTTCAATGTGCCAAATGTAGTAACTTGTAACACCTCACTTCGCCGAGAAGGCTAATGAGATCAGTGGCGAAGCCATGATTTCTTGAGGGGATGGGCGAACTCAAAAGAGTGCAAGGTTAAAGAAAAATTGCAGCAACTAAATCTTTTTATATAGTAATGTCTTCCGTAATTAATCAATACAAACAAATTACAATTGTTGCTGGCGAGGTTTCATATCATGAAAACGTCGCATAATAGGCTCATTATCAATAAAAGCAAATACATCTTTCTCAATGTAAACAACCATGCTATCACTCAACCATTGATCTCTCATTTTGTTACGCAATAGTGTTTTCACAATCTTCATAGCAGAAAAAGCTCTCTCTACCGAAGTGGTTGCAACTAGTAACACCAAAGCCAATGTAAGAAGCTTATACACTAACATATAGCTTTCACACATTCCGGTCTTCACTAACTCTTTATCAAAATCACAATTGAATAGATAGCAATAACGGCAAAATGCGACATCTTTTACTATACTATACTCCAACCACTTAAAATTATCAAACCAACGGGTGACAAAACATCGATTGTTGCTAACTTTTTTAGACATAATGTGATCTTTAGGTTGACAAGGATTATTTTGGAGATAGTGTCGACGAATTGCTTCACAATAATTAGGAATCAAGCATTCGACGTCTATGGTCCAGGGTCTATAGGAAGATTAGTTAGTATTTCATCCAACTCAGTGACCTCACTTTGTTGGGAACTACTCGGAATACTCGAAGAATGAATATTTGGAATATTCGAAGAAGGACTACTTAGAATATTCTAAGAAGGACTGGCCGGAATATTTGAAGGAGGATTTAAGTATTGTTTCTTATAGTATCGTTCCATTGTTTAACTGTATATGGAAAAGAAAAAAAAAGTCTTAGACTCTTAATTCTAGAGTAAGCTATACTATAGTTAATATGAGTACTAACTAATTAAACCAACAATTCAATTAATCAATACAAATATTCATATAAATTATTTAATACACAAAAATTCAAGTAATAAATTAATATCAATAATCAACAATTCAATTTTTATTCTAGACTATAATTTCATTCATCAATAATCATTCATAGGATTCATATTTATATGCAAAAATCAATAATCAATAACTATATTAGTGTATTACTCTATGATTCTATATTAATTAACTAAAATTTTGTATTAATTAATCAATTAGGGTTAGGGATAATATAAATTAGAAAGTTAAAAAATCTACCTAAAATTGAGAGAGAAGTGGAAAACCAACCCAACAGGTTGGCTACTATGTTGGAGGTTGGTAGCTGACTATGCTTGAAGGAGAAATAAGGGACAACGGAATGAGATGGAGGGAGGAGGGCGTTGAAAGCCTGAAACGTGAAAGCTGCTGGGATTTTAGGGGGGGGGGCAAAGGTCTTCTGATTGGTTAAAAGGGGATTGGTTTTCAAAAAGTGAAGGTCTGCTTTGAAAAATGTAAGGCACGAGGACAATGGTCCTCTTCAAATATTTTTTTTTTTTAACCAATTAACGAAACGGCGTCGTTTGTTTAAGGAGTTTTTTTTTTCAATACTAAATGAAACGATGCCGTTTCATTTAAGGGTTTTAAAAAAAAATTACATAAGCTGCTGTTGTGCAGCAGCAGAAATCAATCTGCAGACTACAGTGCATCCATTCATTCCGACGAGACCAGAAGGGCAGAACCATGGGCTTAATTTCCGACGATGGGAGGGGCGACCGCCCCTCACAGTCCCTCTGTAGCTTCACCACTGAATGAAATGACCTCTGCCAATAAGGATTCGAAAATCTTTCTCGACCGAGACTTGGATAGATAACCAGTTGGCCTCGACGCAGTACTGTTTATCCAAACTGAAGGTGCTCCACCGTCGACTGATTCTACGGCAACAGTGTTGTTTATCCAAACTGAAGATGTCACTGGTTGTGTTCACAGTGCTGTTTATCCAAACTAAAGATGTGCCGGCGAAAAGAAAATAAAAATCTCAAGGTTGTTGAGAGGTTTCGCATAGAGCGAGAGTTTGCGTAGGGCAGTTTGTGTCTTGAGTTCGAGAGGTTTTACGATGCACAATGCCTCTATATTTATAATGCTGCTCTCGTTGATGGCCAAGCCGTAAATCTCTAAGTCTCCTGATGTGTCACGGCTACTAGAAAATAATCTCTTAGTCTTTTGATGTATCACGACTACCAAATTGAAGCAATCCCTGAGTCTTCTTACGCCATAAATCTTTAATATTTAAATACACCACATCTGACCAAACACGTCTACTCCTTATCCCATCATCATGTGATCAATGGTCAAGAAATTACCATGTCACTATCTTCTGTTAATTTGCTTTTCCATCATGTCCATAGGTTAAAGCCTAAACACATCACATCACCATCTTTCACCTTTATCCCATGCATGGATTAATTGCATGAAATTAATCCAATATTAGCTGCATTGCCAGATACAAAATATCCCATCATCATTCAAATTGGGATTTAGATAAATATCATGTTTAAATAATTTAATATATTACTAAGAGATAATATCATGATTAAAATCACAATATCATTTCTTAATAATAATTAAAAACCATTTCAACCACTTTATTTTTCAACAGTCTAAAATCCTGCTCATTCAACGACCTTGATTGCGGGGGCTGATAGCGTAAATTTGATTGCTCCCTAGTTTCATTGAGCTTCGGCTCTTAAGCCGAATGGTTAAGGAAATTAAGCATTTATGTGTGGCTCTCAACCGTTAGACATGTTACTCAGCTACCGACTCCATTCAAGAGAAAAAGAAAGCAAAACTGAGAAACATGGCTTTGTTAAAAACAAGGTCATAAAAGAAATCACATCGTGGCCTATTAAATGATGTTGTCGGCCATGACTAAGAAATTCCAAACAAATGCCAATCTTTGCATGCCATACTTTTTGGCCGAGATTTCAATTCGACAGGATTTGTCCTATTGTAAACATTGCCTCCGAATTATACTATGGTCGAGCTCGACCAACAATCCTCGGTCATTAAGATCAAGTCCTTTCTGATCCAACCAAATCCTTCTTGGCCCTCAGCCTAAGCACTATGTCCTCTAACACGAGCTCATGCTACAAATGCCATGACCGCTTAGCAAAATCTCTGCTAGTCGAGAAAAACATATGGTCGAGAAAAACTACCAGGAAGAACGTTGGATGCACACGTCTAAGGGCATGCAACATTGGCAACCAAACCCACTTGTCCTGATCACTGCCAAGGTCTGCATGGCATTGGTCAAATGGAGAAAGTGTACTTATACATAACATTTCATTCGGCCAACTCCAAAACCAATCTCGCCGCAAAGGCCTACCACCTAGCACGGGTGACCTTCTGCGAACATCTTTTCTCAGCCCGGCTAAAGAACAACTTTCCAAGCCAAGCATACTATCTTTTGGATTGCTGCACCATCTTGTTGCCCCCCTTATTTTCTTATGTATCGGCCTAAAAGGCCGAATGGTTAAGAAAATAATTTATTCATGCCTAGATCTTTATTCCTTGCCGAGATCTTTCAATACTAATATTGCTAATCAGGTTTTGCACTAAGCCGAATAAAAAATGACCTCCAAATATTTTTGACTTGGTCAAATATTTTTCATCGGCCGCCGAATGTGTTGAACAATTATTATGCTCCCCATGCATAATTACTTCATTAATTTCGGCTTTTAACTCAAATAACTTAGCCAAACAGGATTTCTTCATATTGGTTGTATCACCAATAATCATATCAAGTGGTGTAGTTTCTGCGTCTAAGACCATGTCTCCAACTACCACATCAATTGAAGTGGTTTTATGGTTTGAAGCCGTGTATCGGTCTTGTTCGTCATTGGAACACTCCTCTGACAAGTCATTTTCTGAGTCGAATTTTGGCTCAAAAACTTGAATTCTTTCTTCTAGGCTTACTACCACACTTTTAGTCTCGACCGAGACAACAGGTGGCCTAGGTGTTTCTTCGGCCAAATGAACAATTTTTTTAGGCCAAAGTCTGATTGTGGCCGAGGTGGAAAATTGCCCCTCAGCCTTTAGACTTAACCATTTTTCAAATGGAATTGATCTATAGTAAAAAACATAAGGAAAACGTTCTTCATTTAGCCAGGCTTTAAATCAAGCCTTGTCTTCGTTTACCCATTGCTCTTGTAGGGTAACATGAGCTTTTATTCTCAACATGTGGGCGAATGATTTTTGCCATGCATGGATTAATTGCATCCTAATCACATCACTATCCTAATCACATCACTATCTTTCACATTTATCCCATGCATGGATTAATTGCATGAAATTAATCCAGTATTAGCTGCACTGCCAGATACAAAATATCCCATCATCATTCAAATTGGGATTTAGATAAATATCAGGTTTAAATAATTTCATATATTACTATGAGATAATATCATGATTAAAATCACAATATCATTTCTTAATAATAATTAAAAACCATTTCAACCACTTTATTTTTCAACGGTCTAAAATCATGCTCATTCAACGACCTTGATTGCGGGGGCTGATAGCATAAATTTGAGTCTAAACAATTATCCAACTAAGCATATGCGCATGCTCACAACTATAAAAGTAAAGGAGGTCATTGATATGTTGATCAGCAAAGATTCAAAGCACACAGAAAATATATAGATCCGATTTAACATAAGTGAGAGACAATGTCGAATAAAGAAGCAAAAAATGAAAGGACAGATCCTGTAAAGGATGACAAGAAATCTGAAAAGGCTGGCGCTAACGCTGGCGCTGGCGATGGTGGCGGCGGCGGTGGTGGCGGTGGTGGAGGTGGCGGTGGCGGTGGAGGTGCCGATGGATATACCGGTGCCGGTGGATATGCCGGTGAAGGTGGATATGGCGGTGCAGGTGCAGGTACCGGTACCAGTGCCGGCGCCAGTGCCGGTGCCCGTGCCGGTGGACATCCTGCTCGAAATGACAGTGCCAACAAATAAGCCAGCTGAGGGATTCAACGACGTTGGCAACTACTACTGAATAGGCCCTTAAGAGCCGATCCTAAATAAGAGGGATTTAACCTCGTTGCATGCATGATCGTAATTAAACATATTGCCTAAAATAAGAGTTGATCCAAAATCCAAGGTTTATAGCAAGACCTCTAAATTTGTGTAATATCGTTACTATAATAAATTAAGAGTGCTATTATTTTCACTCCAATGTCTTATCTCTATACTTACTTCTTAGTTAAAATTTTAATTACAAGTTTGTCTATTTATAAAATGATTGATAAAGACTTTAAAGATAATATACATAGTTCTTTAAGAGGAGAGATCCCATTTGAGCCATAGATCAGACCTCGCAATGAACTCGTTATTCGCTAATACGAAAATCAAATGCCAGGAGAAAGAGGAAGAAACTTGCTAGCTCTTTCCTCCCCTCTGGCAGCTGTGGTTTTGCTTGACATGATTTATATTTGTGGATAAAGCAGAGCTTCTTTTGAAGTATATGGTCGTGGTGATGCCCTTCCCAATCACGTACTATGAGTACTGTAGGAGGGGCAATTTGCTAGAAGCTATCAAGCTGTGGGATGTTATGCTAGTTAGGGGTCTGAAACCTGATATTTTAGCATACAGCTTTTTATACATGGTTGTTGTGTGACTGGAGAACTAACTGTTGGAAAATTAGTTATTAGTTTATGCACCTAGTCTGCATACCGCACCACCATCTGCTCGCACCCATATCCGTTATACCATCACTGCAATCTGACCTGTTGTTGAACGAATCCGTAAACGACGCTGCACCACCTGCATCGCTCCGCTCTGGTCTGCAGCTCCCCGGCCGCACTGGATTTGGTGAAACCACTTACACTGACTCTGCTTCTACACCTTTGAACGCTGCAACCTGCAGGAGCATCCCACAAATCTGTATGGCTGCAAAGGAAAAAAGAGGAAAAAGGAGAATGGAATAAAAAGAATGAAAAAAGGGGAGTAAAAAAAGGAAGAAACAAGAAAAAGAAAAAGAAAAAATTGGTTGATTGTTTGAGGCTTAGGCCCACAGGCAAGAAAGAAATATGATTTGTTTGGTTTGTCTATCGTTCTCACCGCGACGATCGCTCGAGTGCTTGGACTGGTGATCACTCAAGTGAAGTTATGAAAGTTAGATTTTTTGTTTTTGTTCAAGTTTGTTCGGAAGTTGGAATTTGCATTGGCATTGGCATCGGTATTCGGCATCGGCATCGGCATCGGCATCGGTATTGGCATTAGCATCGGCATTGATATTGACATTGGCACTGACATTGGCATTGGAATTGGCATTGGCTCTAGCACTAGAATTTGGAGTCTTGCATTCGCATCTACTTGTTGGCAAACTCATGATGTGTACCGCCATGAGTTTGACAGGGGGTGTTGGAAAATTAGTTATTAGTTTATTTTTGTTTATGGTTTTCTTGTGGGACAAGGATATTAGAATTTTCTATATCCTTTAAGGGTTAGGATTTAGGGTTTATTAGAGTTTTCTATATCCTTTAAGGATTAGGATTTTGCTTTAGTTTTCACTATATATAATAGAGCTTGTAATTTAGTTTGAGAATAAGTTAGTCGCAATGTAGTCTTTTAGGGTTTTGTAGCCGTTTTTGCATTCTCAGTTTGTTTAATAATATTCTTATTATTTTGTTAATCTTGTTCGTTGCGCTCTGATATTCAACTCTAACCAAGGCTTTCGAGTTGCGTGATGACATGATGAGTAGAGGATTGAAGCCAAATCGAGTTACATATAAAACACTCATCCGTGGGACTTGCCTGACAAGTTAGGTTCTGTCCATCAGCTGCAACTTATGCAGGAAGAGTCGTTCTTTTGTTGTATACGGATTACGGAACCAGGCATGCTTTCAATACATCGCGGAGCCATGATGATTGATGGTTCAACATTCACATTTTGTTTTTAGATTAGATACACACACATCTAACTTGACAACATGACCAGTTATTCGTTTTATGTACACTTTTTCCACCCTATATGCTGATTTATTAAGAAGGGATGGTGGGAATCCTTTAACTGATTGTGTTCAGCAACGCGAACTAAGCCTGTGGGGATGTAGGTTATTGTTGTCATGTTTTACATACATTTAATCTCTAACAAGATTTACCTGGATTTTTGTTCTGGATCCCTTCCACCTAAGACATTGAGCACGGCCCTTGAAATTTGATTCAACAACTAAAAACAGGAGGTCCCATTAAAAGTTATAATAACTTTAGCCGTTAAATCAAATTTCAAGTGTCCGGATTTTTTGCTCAGTTGGCTTAGGTGGAAGGGATCCGGAGAAGATCCATTTCCTTTAGTTGCATCTCTTTGATTTGGCCACACTCCATGTTTGTGTCACGTATATGATCTCCGTGTTGGATAAATATCAACAATCAATGATAAATTTATATATGCTAATAAATAATAAATGCGAATAGATAAATTAACAGAGTATGAACAAAACAAAAATATTAAATAGACAACTTGAAGATCGAGGCTTGCGTACCACAATGTCCTTGAAACAGAAATTTCGTCCCTACTCAGTGCTTGTAGTTCTACGGACGTCGACTTCACCATGATTCAACGATCTAAGTCAGAATTCCAGCACCGAAAAACTTGACTTCTAGCGAATTTCTTTGTGGTTCTCTCAGTAAGGATGTTTGGGATTGTAGAAGAAGAATTTGATTTTTCTGTGTTTAAAATGTCATGTAGATGGATGTATTTATTGTAAGTTTATACAAGTTCGCAACAGGTATGAGATTGGGTGCGTCTTTTGGAAGACATCTTTCCCAAATTCGTGCTTTGCTCTGCGTTCTTTCATCACTTCAGACTTTATCTGAAAAGATGAGTCTGGTAATAAAAAAAATAAAATTAATTAAAGAATTTAACTTTTAGAGCCCCAAGGCTCAAGGCTCATCTTTCGATTATATATATTAATTAGTACACTCCAAAGCCCAACTCTAAAGTTGAGCCCAATTTCATTCTCCATGGTCCATCATTTCAATCACTATCTATAAGGAATAAAGCCTTCTAATGTGAGGGAACCTTTTGGTAGTGACCAATATGGGACAATAAAATTTCTACTCAAAATTTTCAACACTCCGATATGCCAGATGCTGCTTTTTCTAGAAATTTGGTTGGTTAGCTAGTTAAGAGAAGGTGAACTGAGCCTCTAAGTTGCACTTGCACATATTTTTCCTTATGTCCTGCAACTTTATAATATTTTTTTTCCGGTACAACGGCGGAGAGCCTAACAACTACCCGGGAATGGCCCTGGACTTTGCCAAACGAACAATACTTGGTTACTAAAAGATGAGTGTGAACTCCTACTCAAAATTCTTAGTGTTTGAATCACGGAGCTTTGTGTTTATGATTAGAATCGTTCATACTATGAATCACATTGTAAAGATTATCTCCGCAAAAATTAAATTAAAACTAAAGCCGTTTAGTCAATCTATTGGAGTAAATATATAGACAGTTCATAATACTTTTACCACTACCGTTCATTTGTTTTTAAATAGTTTGATGACTAAACGACCTTAGTTTTAATTGATTGTTTGCAAATGCGATATTTATATGGTGATTTATAATATGAACAGTTCTGATTATAAATACAAAGTTCTATAAATTGACAACAAACTATTTTGAAAATTTTTGAGTAGGAGTTCCTACTCATCTTTAACAAAGTATTATTCTTGCCAAACTCAAGGTATCAGAAGCCACCAGCGAGTTTATAATCTAATCGACAATATATGAGCTCAACATGCAGGTGGATCTCTCAATAAACAGTGAAGGAGTTACACAATGCGCTCATGCAACACTAGGTTTTTGGAAAAAAAAACGGGCGGCTATCCGCTCAGAGAGCAAAAAATTTCAGTTGTGACGGAAATACGGATGTACACCACGTGTTTTTATGCAAGGGGAGGAAAATTTTAATTTTTAAGTTATTAACCTTTTAACACACATAACCTACCATTTATATTGAGACACGTAGTGTACTACTTTGTGTGACGGGAACACTGAAAAATCTCTCCTCAGAGAGAGTCATACCTATTAATCCAGTGTCTGAATAGCTAGAACCAAAATGGTGTAATACAGGCACACAAAAAAACGAAAAACAAACTCATTTCCGAACCAAAACTAACAGCATAACAGCTCTTTTTCTACATGGTTAAAAAGAGTAAGACGCGTTTGAGGTTTAACAGTACAAACCCAGTTTTTCTTCCTTCAGGAGATGACACGACTTAGCTTCTAGATGTAACCATAAGGACATACACTGCATAAGTTCCTTCACCTCGTCTAAAACCGAGATCGCAGGACTCGTTCAAAATGAAGAGAGACTGAAAGGTAAATTCAAACCGAGAATTATAATCTAGTCAAAGTTCACAACCCCACAAACTATGAACATATCACATAAAAGTAAAGCAGAGCATGAGAAAAACGGACATAACAAGACCAAGCTTCTTAGTTTGCACGACTTTTGATAACATCGAGACCTATCTCAGTCGGATCAGTAGCCTGCAGCTCGACTTGTATGCCGTCCAATTCTCTCTTGAACCTGTCCTTGGAGCTTGCATAAAGAACATAAGCAAAAATGACGAGAAAAAGAGAGACGCGTTTTTAGGTTAGAAAAGTACCATCCGACGAAGAAAATCCTGCTTTTCTGACAGTTCTCTACAGTCACAAAGTCAAAATCATAGACAGCATATCTGCATTCATTATCAGGAAGGTTTGCAGTAAAGTCTTCATAGCTTTCAGCTGGCTCACCGAGCTTCTCCACAATCACCTCATTTTTCTTCTCGTCAATCTTGAACACTATGAAGCGATATGTTCTCTTAGCCTTCAATTCCAGGAACTTCAGCTTGCAGTCATCATTCACAGCAAATCCGGACGCTGCATCAGCCTGATCATATGATGAAACAGAAGATAGATGTTATTCTTATGCAACTTATTTCCACAAACCCAACACACACTGGTT